GTTGGGACTGACCCTGTTGGACCTGTGGCTTCCTGCGTGGCTCTTTGAGCACCCTGTTCAGTGCGCCAGCATCTTGGGCCAGTCTGCTCCTGCTGCTCCTGCAGATGCTCAGGGCTGCCTGTCTCCCGCGGTAGCTGGAGGTTGTACGGGCCTCTGTGCTTCCGTCTGAGGATGCCCCATACCTTGCTGCTTAGAATTCTGCACTGTGATTTGCCTTTTCACCTTTCTGTCTTCCCCACCCGATTATGAGTATTTTGAGAGGAGGAAATTAGTTCATCTTTTCATTCTAACATCATCCCAGGTCAGGAAGAGGCGACTAAATGAATGAACATGGGGAGTGCTGATGCCCGTGTGCTAGCAGACAGGCAGGCAGGAGGAGCCCACGTTGGGATGAGCAGGAAGAGGGTTTGGTTTGGTTTCAGCTGCACTCACGGCCTCTGTGCTGAGCTCTTTGCTAGGTATTTGGGTGCGTAGTCTCATGCTGAGCTCTTTGCTAGGTATTTGGGTGCGTAGTCTCATTTAGTCATCGTTACTTAGGGATGTAGGTACTGTGGTCCCGTTTTACAGATAAGGTACTGATGCTGCTCACAGAAGTAACTTCACAAAAAGAGTAAATGGAAAGAAAGTCCCAGGTGAAAGCCCTCATCAAACATCCCTATAAAATTCCGTACTTTAGGGGCTGGGGTTGTGGCTCAGTGGTAGAACACTCACCTAGCATGTGCGAGGCCCTGAGTTTGATCCTCAGCACCACGTAAAAATAAATAAAATAAAGTAATTGTGTCCAACTACAACTAAAAATAAATGATTTTTTAAAAAATTCTATGCTTCAGCTTCTTGGTAAATGCAATAAAATGAACCAAGTTGGGGAACATTTCAAAGCATCCCTCATTTGAGTGTGGGCCCCTGATCCTATATATACTTGAGGAGCAGATAGAACGTAACCTGGACCCTCTGGGACCTACTGATTTTTTTTCAGCAAATTTTTGAGTAGCGGTAGGTACTGTGCTCGGTACTGTGTGTTATGGCTCTTGCTTTCATAAAGCTGAAACAAAGAGTAAAGAAAAGAGAAAGTGCTGGAAATAAAGACTATATTGGAGAGGAATAAGTAGAGGTAGGATCTAGATAAAGCAGGGCTTTAAAGCATGTGAAGTAACAACCGAGGAGGAATGATTTCTTCTAGAACTCTGGTGCTGAAGGGCTCTTGGGTGGCTTAGGTGAGGCATGCAGAGAGCAAAGCCCGGAGAGAGGGTTACTCACGTGTGATCGGCGCTGGCTGCTGTTTTTCCGCTGTTGTATGTGTGGGGTGTGTTATGTGTACTGCGTCTTCTCGCCTAGGAGGTGGTGGTGGTGGTGGTAGAGTTTTATAGGCAGAAAATCTGAGGCCCAGGAGAGCCATGCGCTTTGCTGGGTCATGGCTGGTGAGTGGAAGAACCTGACTGGGACCACTGATTCCCACGTTGCCCCAGACACAAAGGCTCCCTTTGGAGCTGTTTGCATTTATGCTGGCCGTGTGTCCCCCAGCTGAGCTCCGGGCAGCTCTCCATGGCTCCTCTGCTGCCTGCTGCCCACCCCACCCCCCCGTCCATGTCATTGTGTGTTTTCTGTGTTCATGGGACATCGTGGGTGGGATGTCAGTGCTGTCATGTCCCTGTGCTCTCCCTGGCGTGCTGCTTTCTCCAGTTCTCAAGCCCTACCTGGGTGGCAGGTGGGTGGTGTGGAAAAGTTAGACACCAGGAAAAGCCACTGTCCACTTCCTGCCCAGCATCCCTTCCTGTCCTCCCCCTTCCCTAACAACCCACTTCCCAAATGGAGCCGGCAGGTTCACCACGAGACCAGACCCATTGTCTTCTGGAGGCACTGGGCAGAACTGGGACGTCTTTCCAGGGACTCCTTGGTTTCTATTCTGGGGCATTCCTTTTCAGAAACCAAACTCCACCCCGCTCAGGGAACTTTCTTTTCTCTGAGTGTCACGGTGGTATTTAGGTGTGTTGGTTTCTCCTCCCTTCTCCCCTAGAACAGACCGCATTTTGTTGGAGCTGTAATAGTTTTTCCCTCTGTGTCAATGGTGTATTTACCTTTCTAAATGTACGTGCTCGCTTTGTCAGAGTGTCATATATTTGGAGTGTTTATGTACTCTCGGAAGTAGTATTTGGGTGGGTTCTTTCTTGTTGGTCCATTTGATAACAGGATTCAGAATTTTCAGGAGTTTTGTCCAGAGAGGAGCTAGGAGAGGTGGAGCTGGCTTTCCCCACACTTTCCCTTCTGAAGTCTGTGCAGTAGCAGCACGATCTCTGTATTCTGCGGGTTGGTAAAGGAGTACGGGTGGGGAGTGCAGGGAGGGCCACCCAGCTGGTGTTTTGGAGTCAGGTGGCTTGGGCTGTTGTCCTCGTTCCATGACTTCCAGGTCACACAGCCTTGACTACTCTCCACTATTCTTACTCCTACAGTTCCATCACCTGTAAAAGGAAGCTACCACCATAACTGTCTTGAGCCTTGTTGTGGGTCTTAGTTGAGCTAATACTTGTCAAGCATAGTGCCTCACACTTAGTAAATGCTCAGTAAATCTTGACTGTTTCAGTATCACACATTAGATTATCTTATGCACATCTTTAAAAATCCTTTTAGTCTCTTTTCCATTTAAAATGGTATCCATCAAGTGTAGAGCAGGGAGTATCGTATCAGGAAGGTCAGGGTGGGTTGAGGATGGTAATGTCAGGTAGACATAAACCATCCTTTGGGAATTAATTGAAGCCTAAATGTGGAGCTACTTACTGAATTCAGTTTCCATAAAAGTCGGGAAGATATGAAGAATAAGACTCAGATCGAAAACTGAAAAGGGTTCCTAGAAATGTAGTCAGATGCTAGGGCATAAAAACAAAAATCTAGGGTCTTCCTGAGACATTACCAGTGCGTAACATCATGGGAACAAGGTTGCACTGGGGAGATAACCTTTCTATTGGGTCTCTTGGTTGTGAGAGCCAATTATGGCATCCTGTGGGCATTTCAGCCTTAATGTGCTGATTACATCAGGACTCCAGGAATCCCCCGCCCAGTCTCCTGCAGTCCCTCCCATGTGCAGCCCATGTGCTTGTGTACATCTCCTGCCCCGCACTGCTCTGTCTGGCAAGCAGCTGTAGTCGGAGACTGGGGACGGGTGTCCGTTCGTGGTATGGATGCATGGATAGAGGGGACCTGGGGAATCCAGAGTGTGGAGAGGGAGTTGGTCCTGAGCTTTCAACATGCTAACCTGATCATGAGCATAATCAGTGCTATTGCGTTATATACTCACAAACGTTTAAAATGGAAAATCAAATTGTGTGTATTACCAGTTTCAAAAAACCAATAGGCCAAAACCCTTATAGTCTTTAAATAGGTGGATTATATAGTTTATGAACTATATCCCAATAAAGCTGTCAAAAAGTATAAGAACATTTTAATAAGCTTTTCCTGTTTAGTATTAGTACAAAGGTTTGTTTGTTTGTTTGGTTGGTTTTTTTGCGTACATTGCTATGTTTAGATAATTTAATGTTTTATTGGTAGGAGAGAGATTGGATTTCTTTCATTCCTTTTTAAATTTTATTTTGAACAAATTTCAGACTTAGAAGTTTGAGAACTGTTCAGTGAACTCATGCCCGCCACCAAGAGCCACACACTGTGAGCAACGCCTCAGTCCCCTGTGCAGCAGTGCATGCCCTGAGGTGCCCTGAGGTGGTAATGGTTCTGGGTGCTGTGTCTGCCTCTGTCCCTTTTGTTGGCCCCACTGTGCTCTCTGTCCTCTGAAGTCCTCGCCTCTTCCGTCTTGCGCACTGACGCTACTCCGTTTCTTTGGTAGAGCCGTTTCCTCCCTCCCCGGTGTGTTCTTTTCCTGGAGTCTCCTGTTAAGTGGATGCTGGACCTCCTGGATTTTCTCCCCTGCTCTCTCGTATTCCTCAGCTATCTTCTTGGTCCCTGGAATGCAGTAAATTGTCTTCATCTCAGAATCCTGCCCATTTAGAGAATCTTTAAACTATCATGTTTTTCATGTCCAAGAGTTCTTAACATCTTTGATAGATCTTTATAAATAAAAATAGCAATTTATTCTTTCTCATAGATTAAAAAAATATTTATCTCCCCAAAGATATAACTTGCTGTTGGTTGATTTTAATTTCCTTCTGCTGCCTCGGGGTCTGTTTGCTCTGAGTGCCGTTTTTTCTTTGCTCCTTTGGTTTCTGTCACTCCCACCAAAGATGCTCTTGAGATATCTGTGATGCTAGAATCTGTTCATGATGAAGAGGGGGACACTAAAAGCTGAGAGGAGTACTCTGTGTGGCCCACTCATGGCTGGAGGGTGTCGCCGGCAGACGGTGTGCCAGGCTGGCTACATGGCTTCAGGCTTGGGAACTGAAGGGGAGGAAGGCTGCAGGCTCCCCACTCGTCGGGTGGGCTGTGACGTGTGTGCCTCAGCTGTGCCTGTGTTCCAAGTCTGGAGCGTCAGTCTCCTCAGAACATAGCTGTGCTGTGGCAAAGAGTGACACTCTGGCTGCATCTGGTAAGGGCACACTTGTGGTTCTGGGTCTCCAGCTGCTTCTGGTAGAGGTTTCTGAGCAGTCCTCGGTCACCTTGCCACTCCTCCACCTCACGAGGCACCGGGCGACCTGGCGAGCTTACCTCCTGAGCCTCTCAGGGCACCCTTTCCCAGGTCCCCTCCGGCCCTTGGGCCCTTCTCCAGCCCTCTGTGTGCATCAGCTGCCATGCTGCTGATTTGGGGCGGAAGGAGGCAGGTGTGTGTTGTGACCTGTCATGTCTAACTCAGTCTCTTCTCTGCTCCCTTTTCACTGGTCTAGAGCCCAGCTTAATCCAGGGGACCCCACGCAGGCTGTGCAGGGGGAAGACTGAACGGCCGCGAGGCTCTTGCCATGATGGTGGTGAAAGCAGTCAGCTGCACGGCTGGGTTTGCCGATGGCTGGGGTCAGCCTCCTGCTGCAGCGCCTTCCCTAACTTTCTGACCTGTCCTTTTGCAGAAGTGGGGCAGTGTGAGCAACCCGCTCTTCCTCCCGCTGATCCCGCCGCAGTCGCAGGGGTTCACCGCCATTGTCCTCACCTATGACCGGGTCGAGAGCCTCTTCCGCGTCATCACCGAGGTGTCCAAGGTGCCCAGTCTGTCCAAGCTGCTGGTCGTCTGGAATAATCAGAATAAAAACCCCCCAGAAGGTAAGAAGAGTGAGGAAGGTGCATTTAGGAGGCCCTGCCTCAGGCGTTGGCCAACTCTCTGCTGATGGACTGTGGATGGCCAAGTGATGCCAGTTAGTTTGAAATGAATCTCTCCCTTTGCCAGTAACAGTGTCATCTGTGAGGCAGCGTGACCCCGCTTCTCTCTTCCCCATCGTCTCGTTCCTTTCTAAGGTGGCCTGTTTAACTCCAAGCCCTGGCACGCTCTGTAGCCACATGTGTTTGAGGGCTGAGGGGCGATAGGATCAAAGGCGACCAGCCCTGGGAAACAGATCTCAGCCCCCGGCCATCCCAGCTGATTTGTTTACATGGAAACTCAGTTTAAGAGGCATCAGTCTTCTCCTTCCTTATCTCAGCTCTGATGCCGTGCTGTCCTTCAAAACCCACTGAGGAGGATGGCCTCCCTTCCACAGGGAAGGAGGCGTGCCGTGGAGGCCGGGACTCAGCTCCTAAGGGAACTCGAACTGCATGCTGCCACCGAGTCCTCCTTAGTCACTCTGGCCCTCGCCTGGGCCACCCGTGTAATCTGCTGGCTGGCAGCTAGGATCACAGACTGTTTGATTAATTGGATTTGTTTTTAATTCGGGACGCATAGAGTACGTTCCACCTGCATTTGGTTTCTCATTCGGTCTGTCTATTACTGATCCTAATCCCAGGGACTTCAAAGCTCCTGCCATTTATAGCCTATTAAAGCCAGGAAGTTTCTGATGGATTAGAGCAAGGAATGAGTTTGAAGTTTGTAATGTGCACCACTGTCACCGATAAGGTCTAGTTTATTGCCTGACAGTAGTATCTGTGCTTTTTATGGCTAGTCCTTTTAATTGGTTATACTGAAGTCAGGAGAGTTGACCCTAGAAACTTCCAGTAGTAGATCTGTAGTCTAGGCCGGAATGAGACCATATTTCTGTCTCTGTTAGGCAAATCAGAATTTGCTCAATAAAATTCTTTAGTGTGTCCTGAGACATTTGAAAAATTGTACTTCATGAGATTTTTGTTTTCTGAAAGAATCATCTGCTCTCTTTAGGTTCACAGAGTGCCAGGATGAGTGAATCAAATGCCTATTCTGACGAGAGTCCTATAATGTACCTGAAGCATAGCTGCTTTTATCATTACTATTATTGCTGACCAGCTTTCTGATCCGGGGTTTTTTCTTTGCCGCCTCACTGCAGCATGGTCAGTTTTCTGGGTTTTGCTGTGTTTGGCTTCTAATAAAGGAGAAGGAGAGGGAGAGGTGGAAAGGAAGGCGCTGGCGTCACCTAAGGAGGGAGGAAGAGCCAACGGGGCAGAGATGGAGGAGCCCCAGAGGATCTGTGTGGCGGGCAGGGTGGGCAGGGCCCTGCACAGGCGGCCTTTCCCAGGGAGGTGGGTCGGACCCCTGCTTTGCTTGTCGGGCCCTTGATGGGTCGTGTACACTGTGGAGGGAATGTCCCTGTCACTGTGTTCATTCTCATGCATTTGTGTCTCCAGCTTAGCCCACAGCCCTCCTACAGGGAAGGTGGAGCGGCAGGATCTGGAGCAGAGGCCAGGGACACACTGGTGACTGCACATTCCAGAACACCTGTGTGTTCTAAAACACCGCCGCGTGCTCTGTAACACATGCAGTTATCACTTGCCAATCAGAAATAAAACAAAACTAAAAAAATGCCAAGGAGCCTTCTTATACCCCTGCTTATCAGCCTCTTTGGTCATAAAGTGAACTCAACATTGTGAGTTGGAGTCACTCTTCGGGGCAGGTGTGGGAAAGGAGGAATCTTTTTCTTATGTCTCAGCCCAGGCTTGTGCGCTGGCATGGCTAAAGGCAGAGTGTGGGCCAGCTTTGGAGCTGGGTATTCAGTTTTAATTTTTGGTAGACCCTACTAAAGAGTAGTGGTTAATTTTATGACCAAGAGTTTAGTTTATTTTTTAAATATTTTGGCTCTAGGGAGGAAAGAGAACCCTTAACTGATGAGGCCCTCATTTTGACACGTGTTGATGGACTGGCTTTTTTCTGACGGTGGTTTTCGGGTCGGGGCTCTGGCTCTCGCAGTGCAGCTGTTGGGGGAACACGAACCATGCTGATCTTCTGTGGGCGTGTTCAGTTGGTCAAGGGGCCGTCAGCTCTGGTCCTCCTGCCAGCAAACGCATCTGATGTTCCAAGTGTAGCATTAGTGACATGTATATAAAAAAAAAAAAGGCTTTGAAATTTTAGAGGTGAAAGTGATGTTTTTCACTTTCTCTACATTTACTAAAATAAATATTGTGGTTCACGCGTCTGCTGCTGGGAGGGCTGGCGCAGGCGGCAGTCTGCGCCCTCCCACTTTTTTTCCTGGATCCAACCAAGTACTTTTTTCTTTTGGTTACAGTTAACTCTAAATGGCTAGGTTTGAAGTAAATATTGAAGAGTAGGCAATAGAACTCTCTAGTGAGCTTTCATCACAGCAGTTTTGAGCTCTGTCAATATGAAGACAGGCTCCTGCTTTTCCCTCCTAGCTCCTCAGTTGCCGAGCCTGGTAAAGGTTGAGTTCGTCTGCATGGGCCCAGCCTTTGTCCGGAGGAAGCTGTAGCACTGTACACTTCAGAAAGGGGAACTCAACCTTAGTCTTAATTAATCCAGGTATAGATTTGAATTGACATTAAGGGACCCCCAGCTTCAGATGTGACCCTCACAGTCCTTAGTGGGCAGGGTGAGCGCTGTCAGGATGGTCAACCCAACAGGGCAGCAGGAGCCAAAGCAGCAGCTACCTTCCGTTGAGCTGCATTCAGGGTCCTGGGCACCAACTTTACACTGAGCAACTTGGGGACTTCTGAAGCAGGCTAAAGGGTTTTTGTGTGGAGATAATCTAATATTTTACTTTGTGTATATGACAGTGATTGGCAAGATAGGCTTGGGGTTATCTTCAGCCAACCTGAATGTACTGTAGTACTTTTGTCAAGTTACAGAGAATTCCTCTCTCACATCTCTCTCAGCATCCAACATGGAGAAAACTATTAATTAATATACTTTTAAAAAGACCTGTGTCTGCCAGCTGTAACCCCAGCTGCGGGGGAGGCTGGGGTAGGAGGACTGCAAGTTCAAGGCCGCTTCAGCAACTTACGGAGACCCTGTCTCTAAATAAAAATATAAAAAGAACTGGGGTATAGCTCAGTGGTTAAAGCACCCCTAGGTTCAATCCCTGGTACAAAAAAAAAAAAAGAGGGGTCCTTGACACAAGGAGTTCTTTTTCTCCCATGAGCTGGGCCAAAGCTCATACTGTGAAACTAACAGGTCACCTGTCTCAGCTGTTTATCTTTCAGAAATTCAGCAGTGCCTTTGAAGAACCATTTTTAAGTTACTTTATGTGAATAAAAGGTGACACTTGTAAAGTTTTGCCTGCTGTAGTTCCACAGGATGAGATATGAGATGCAAGGGCATGCTGTTGCATTTGGAGTTTGAAGGAGTTAGGCCTCATCTAGGCTCTGCAACAGAGCAGAGCCTGGGAATTTCCAGCCTTGACACTGTTTCCTTCTGTGTCCTGTCTGGACCTCTTTAAGGTATCAGCAGAGAAGTGGAGTTCCTAGGGCTTCCCAGCCTCCCCCTCTGCAGATGGTGATGGAGCAGTGTTGTGGCTGGTCAGTGCACGCTGCTCTACCCAGGAAGGAGGCCACGCTGGGATGAGGAGTGAAGAGGACTTTGTACGTGTTACCTCCAGTCCTTATGACAAGCCTGTGAGGAAGCTGTCATTATCCCCATTTTATATACATAAGAAAGTGAAACTCAGTCAGTGACCTGCCTGAATCAAAAGCAGCAACGGGCAGAGACAGAAGTTAACACGGGTCTCTCTCAGTCGGAAGCTCCTGCCAACTGCATCCTTTTAGATGACCATTTCAGTGCAGGAAAACCCTGGCTCTCGTCTGTCTCCTCTCTGATTTGGGATCATATAGAGGAACTAGCTTCTTGTTAGGGCTCACAGAGAGACAGAGGATCAATCTATTCAGTACTAATAGGGAGAGAAGTGTCTTCCCTTTTCACAAATCTGCCTTGCAGTTCTCTTCTGTAGTCCCAGTCCTAATTTTTTTTTTTAAAAAAAGGTAAACTTTCCAGAATTAAAATTTCCTGTCAAGGTCATAGTATTAAGGGCATGGCTGCCCATTTGTCCCTGACCTCCATAGGGGGACACTGAAGCCTTCCCTGTCATGGAAGTCGAGCTCATTTGAAAAAGGAAAGAGTCCAGGAAGCTGGGAGTTCCCTTTAGAACCTGTTAGATGGTGGTCCTTGGACACTTGGCCACTGAAATGGAGGCTCCTTCTGTGGAAGCTGTGTGCTCCGCAGACCTAGCCTACGAGGAAGGAGTCGTCACGTTTCTAACACAGCCGTGATTCATTCTGCATTTCCATCTGTGCCCCATATCATCCCCCTGGCTTTCATCACTCTCTAAAACTTCCCATCAGAGACTTCACAGGAGCAAGTCAGCTCCCTGGGGACGTTGTCTCAAGTAATTCTTTGGATACATGTAGCTGGAGAGCGTGGAAGTGCCTATCAGGCCAACATGCCATCCACGCCCTGGGCGAGAGCCCACCGTCCATCATGGGGGCTTGTTTCTGCTCCCCCAGAGCAGCAGACCTGTTCTCTACGCGTGGGGGAAAGGAGCTGTTGGTTACCCTGGGGAAGTGACATGGCAGAGGTTCCATGTCACTTAGTTTTGTGAGCACATGAGACTCTCTGAGTTCTGGGGCAGGGGTTCTGCTTATCTAAACATGGACATGGGTAGCATGAGCTTGGCCACCACTACGCCAGGCTCGAGAAACCCTCTGGTTCTAGCAGCAGACACAGACTTTCAAGGGAAACATAGCTGACCTCAGGCGGGTGTCTGCCATGCACCAGGAGCTGTGCGGCTGAGCACCTGTGGTCCCGCTTAGTTGGTCATACAAAGGGGGTCGCCAGTCCTGCCCCACAGTCGAAGAAGCAGGCTCAATGTGGTGGACCTGTCTGGGTTGTCCAGCTGGCTAACGGGAGGCCTAGGCTGTTGCACGACTGTGTTCTTGCTGTGTTTGCTGCTGTTCTCTGGAGTCCTGGGCCCATAGAGCTATTTTCTTTAGTCCTTCACCTGATGTCAACTAGAAATCTGACCAGAGTTCACGCATTTCAGGCAAAAGGATGCCTTGTGTTGCTGAAGTCATTTCAGTCCATCTGAAGACAGTTTGCAACATCAGGAAACTCTTGCCCCGTAACTCACCTAGTGAAAGTTAGGGTTCATAACTGGAGACCATGGGGAAAATTCCCTTTCATCTGCACTACAGTCAAGGTTCCCTTAGAAGACAGAAACCACACGGTGATTTGAATAGGAAAATTTTAATATAAATAGTGATAAACATACAACAGAATTTGTCTACTAACCTGATAAAGAGAACTTTAAGATCATAGGAAGCTACATACACATATGGTTACTACTGGAGGGACTACACCAGGGGCAGCCAGAGGAATGAGGAGTTATGCTGCATTTGTGGACAATATGTAAAAACGTAATCTACTGTCATGAATAACTAATTAGAACATATAAAAAATTTTTTTAAAAAGAGACTATAGGAAGTGACCCTGGGAGCCCAGTCCCCCACTGGGCCTGAGGTTCCACTGTGTTGGGAAGAGCAGAGCGGGGGCCCAGTGCCTGGGGAAGCTTGCTCAGTGCCGCAGACCAAGACTGAAAGCAGGAAACCAGCCCTGCTCAGACTCCCACGGAACCCCATGGCAGTGGCCTGGGTGGGACAGGGCTTGCTGGAAACTGGCAAGGGCTGCAGTGGAACCCACCCAGAGATGCCCAGAACCCACCCAAACTGTCTTCAGATGGACAGAAATGATTTCAGCAACCCAAGGCAGCTCAGACGTGGAAAAGGAGCAGCAGGACCGCAGAAAAGCCCCTTCCTCCTGCGTGTGAAGTGCTTTGAGCTTCTGGGTCACTTTGAAGGGCATGAAGGAATTCTGAAGCCAAAACGTTTGAGAACCAGTGGTCTAGAATGTAGGGCTGTCACCTTCAGCTGGAGAGTATAAGTCATGGTTTAAAGGATCTGGGAATAGTAGCTGTGTGTCGGGGATTTTATTTATCTGAGGTAAGAAGTGAGATGCAGGGAAGGAGGATGCCTGCTGGTGAGGGTGGCTGGACCTTCCGAGTTCTGCTCCACATGGGGGGAAGCAGGGAGCTGCGCTGGCCTCACTGTTCATTAGGGTGTATTGCCAGACAAGTTTCTTAACCTCTCTGAGTCATATAAATACTACATTATAAATAATTTCTGCCTCTTAGGATTGTCAGGAGGGTTGAATGACAGTAAAGGATCTGGCACGTATCACTTAAGTAATCAAGGTCCCCATCTCTGCTTATTTAATTATATGAGAAGAAGGGACTTGCTTGAGATGCATAGTTGATGCAGAACGCAAGTCTGGGTCTCTCACTTATCCCAGAGATACTTACTGATGATGTGCCGGGAATGAAGCTAGAGGTGGCTGCTGTCATAGTAAGTGGCCGTAATCCATTGCCCTGTTTCTTTGGTCTCAGGTTCAGCCCTTTCCCAAACCTACTTTTTTGGAATTGACCACTTTTTTAGGTTCTTTGCTGTAGGCTTTTTTGAAATTCAGCTGATCTTCCTTGACCCCAGGGCCTGCCCCTTCACAGCCCCCTCAGGACCGTAGCAGGGCCGCAGCAGTGCCCTGGACAGTGGTGCTATGGGGCTCACAGGTCAGGGTTCTGCCTGCAGCCAGCTGGGCGGCCTCTTCCCCTGGCCTTCCCTGTCTCCTTCAGTGTGGTGACTTGGGAGTGGACACAGGCATCTTGGGGCCTCATGACTCACAAAAATTAGATATTCCCCTTGATTACATAATGCGTTTTTTGAAAGTGGTGTGCCACTGGGCCTTCCTGTTCTTGACAGATGTTATGTGAACAATGAACTGCCTCCCCCAGGAACCCCAGGTCGTGGACATTGCTACTGTAACAGAGAAAGATTAACTTCATGTTCTGCTAAATGCCGCATTCAAAAGCAAAAACCTATGATTGAATTGCTCCAGTCATTTCAAAGTAGAATGGGAAAAAAATGAGAGGCAAGACATGGGTTGGTATTTCTTCATTATACAAGAAAATCCCATATAGCTGGACCTGGAAATTGGATATTTACCCTGTGAATTGATTGTGATGAGAAACCAAACCTAGTAAGTCGGGGAGGAAGGAATGAAGTGCTAGGCCTTGGTCCAGCACTATGTGCTCTTGGGCCGGAGGGTCTGGCTGGTCTGGGAACAGCTGGTCTGGGACCAGCCTGGAGGGCTCTGGGAGCCCAGTGTGCTAGCTGAAGGCACGGGGCTTCCTGGCATAGCTTCAGGCAGGTTCTGAGCGGGGCGTGGGGTCAAGGAGGTGTGTTGCAGAGTCTTTGCCCGAGGTGGTGGAGTTCTGATACTAAAGCGAGGTCCTGAGCCCCTCTCCTCCCGTCTTCATGACCTGGGTTGAGTCGTTTCACTTCTCTGCCTCTCAGTTGTGAGCCGTAGCCAATGAACTTATCATCGTTAAGGCAGTGTTATAGTTAGTAGTGTTGAAAGGATGCGGAGAGGGTAGAAATACGTGCATGTGTGTCTGTTTCCCACTATTACAAGGACACACGTGTGAGACACCCCCTCCCGAGTCCTCGAGCCTTTGCTCATGGCAGGGGGCTAGAGATGTCAGCAGTTTCTTCCAAGTACTGACGCCCTTGCCGCCTTATCTCCTCATTAAAGGCTAGACAGTAGTCAAGATCTTGTTTTATTTTTCTTCTAGATTCTCTCTGGCCGAAAATCCGGGTTCCATTAAAAGTCGTGAGGACCGCCGAGAACAAGCTGAGTAACCGCTTCTTCCCTTACGATGAGATCGAGACCGAGGCTGTGCTGGCCATCGACGACGACATCATCATGCTGACCTCTGACGAGCTGCAGTTTGGTTATGAGGTGAGCAGCTTTTAAACAAGATGGGAACAGGCTTTCTATTTACAGCTGTTTCCTTGTCTTTCCAGAAAAAAGCATTATATTTCATTCTCCAGGGTCATGATTTCTAAAATCTCCCAGTGGAGTTTAAACACCAGCCATGAGAATGTGGATAGGAAACTGATCTTTAAAACCTCAGGGAAAACTCAATTCCAAAATGACAACTGGGCCCTCCTCTGATTGGGAACTCCCAGGGAGAGTCCCAGGGGACATTTTCAAAGAGCGTCCATAGCATTTAACAAGCACCTAATTGATGTCTCCTCCAACAGCATTTCCCTTGACTGGGCAGCTGGGCACCACAACAGTAAAACGAACTCAGTTAGCTAAGACTCCATGACGCTGACAAACAGAAAACAGACCCCGCTGGTGGCTGGCGCTCTGAGCTCTCAGTAGAGGGGCCGGCCTCCTGTCTTCAGGGAGAAACACTCCCCATCCTTGCGTACTCCTGCGGCTGATGGATTACGCTGGGTTCAGGGGTTAAGTATGGAGACCAGCAAAGGTCTCCCCAGGGGAAAGTGCCAGAGCCCAGGCCTGGCGAGAAGCAATCCAGTTGACGAGACCTGTCAGGGAGGATGTGTGCAGCCTGACGGCGACAGAGGCCTGCGCGGCAGGGGCGACCGCAGTGTCAGCGCCAGCACAGTGGAGAGTAAAATCAATGAGGTCCAGCTTCCATAGGGGAAATTGCTGAGATCTGTCCTCCGGGATCACCCTGTCTTTGGGAGAGAGGAGCCATCTTCTTTAGTTTACTCAGGATTTGTTGAATTTGGAGTTCTCCAGGATTCATGAAATTGTGTTACACAAAACCATATTTACTACATATGTTTAATATAGAAATTTATTTTAAAATCTTTAAATCAAAGGTGGATTTTATGAGTAAGAATAAGGAATCCCACCACCATCAAAATCAAAAATTAAAAACTTAAGTTTTCCCAAATTTTTTTTTTAAATATAGCACCATCTGAGTGTAAAAAAAAAAAAAAAAATAGATAGTTGTGTAGTACTGTGAGCACTGCAGAATTGACTAGGGAAAGGTGTGAAGAGTAGAATAGCCATTAAAACATCTTTTTGGATTTATTTTCATTCATAGGAGATGACCTGTACATCATTACATCTAGAGTATTGGTGTACTGTGGTTCCCATTTTTTTAATTTATTCTGATTTGTTATACATGATGGCAGAATGCAATTCATTTCATATTATACATATAGAGCACAGTTTTTCAAGACACTCATTGTACACAAAGTAATTTCACACCATTCGTGACTTATACATGTATTTAAGGTAATGATGTCTAACTCATTCCACCATCACTCCTACCCCCTTGCCCCCTCCTTTTCCGTCCTTCCCCTTTGCTCTATCTAAAGTTCCTCCATTCCTCCCATGCTCCCCCCCAATCGCCATTATGAGTCAGCATCCTCATATCAAAGAAAACATTTGGCCTTTGGTTTTTTGGGATTGGCTTGCTTCATTTAGCATTATATTCTCCAACTTCATCCATTTACCTTCAAATGCCATGATTTTATTCTCTTTAATGCTGAGTAATATTCCATTGTGTATATATACCTATATATTCATTACTGAAGGGCATTTGGATTGGTTCCACAATTTAGCTACTGTGAATTGTGCTGCTATAAACATTGATGTAGCTGTATCCCAGAAGTATGCTGTTTTTAAATCCTATGGGTATGAAGCAAGGAGTGGGATAGCTGGGTCAAATGGTGGTCCCATTCCAAATTTTCTAAGGAATCTCCATACTGCTTTGCAGATTGGCTGCACCAATTTGCAGTCCCATCAGCAATGTATGAGTGTGTCTTTTTTCCCACATCCTCGCCAACACTTATTGTTGTTTGTACTCTTGATAGCTGCCATTCTGACTGGAGTGAGTTGAAATCTTAGAGTGGTTTGCATTTCTCTTATTGCTACAGATGATGAACATTTTTTCATATGTTTGCTGATTGATTGTATACCATCTTCCAAGAAGTGTCTATTCAGTTCCTTAGCCCATTTATTGATTGAGTTATTTGTTCTTTTGGTATTAAGGTTTTTGAATGCTTTATATACCCTAGAGATTAGTGCTCTATCTGATATGCTTGTGGTAAAGATTTGCTCCCATTCTGTAGGCTCTCTATTCACCTCACTGATTGTTTCTTTTGCTGAGAAGAAGCTTTGTAGTTTGAATCCATCCCATTTATTGATTCTTGGTTTTAATTCTTGCGCTACAGGAATCTTATAAAGTAAGTTGGGGCCTAATCTGACATGATGGAGATTTGGGCCTACTTTTTCTTCCATTAACTTGCCTGCTTATTTTCTCTAGTCAACTCATGGGAAAAAAGACTAATTTTTTTCTGCCAGTATTCTCTCTCTTTGTTGCATGTAATGGCTTCAGACAGTGGCAAAAGCGAGGTGGAAAAGGAACGTTCAGAAAGATGTAGCCAAGATGGACAGAGTGCTGCCTATTTGGTATTTCCAGTTGGTCTAATAAAGAAAGATGGGTGAAATGCATTCCTGAGGCTTCTTTCAACCTTGAGTTGAAACCTTGAGATCTCAGGAATATTGACCCCTGGGACCTTTTTCAACCATGAGCTTGTTCATGCAGGAAAGGGTTGGATGAGAGGAGTCTCACCACTGTCCTCTGATGCCTGGGTGGATTCCACATCACCTCTGAGGAGTTAGCATATCCTAGAGGAGTGAGATCAGGAAGCTGCCTCATCTCTGTGGGCCTTCTCCAGATGCTGGGGAAGGAGCACTCTCATAGCTACCTTCTGCATACACGACTTCCTGTATTCCTCTCACTTAGTGTCCTTAGCTTACCCACACTGCCTTCATTCTTTCTGCAAATGAAAAATACAAAGAAGGTGTGTTTTTCTCATTCTGTGATCAGACTAAACAAGGGCACAATGGTGTACACTGTGATCCCAGTAACTCAGGAGGCCAAGACAGGAGGATCACAAGTTTAAGGCCAGCCTCAGCAACTTAGGCCCCAAGCAACTTAGTGAAATGCTATCTCAAGAAATAAAAAGGACAGGGGATATAACTTAGTGCTAAAGTCCCCTGGGTTCAATCCCTAGTACCAAAACAAAAGAAAATAAAAAATATTAGATATTTTGCCTGAAATTTTATAGCCAGTAAGTGGAAGAGTTATAATTCAAATCAAAGTTTAAACCAATCTGAATTGAAGTTTGACTGGAGTTTGTGCTATCAATTGTCTTCAAATGTTTACCCTGAACAACATCTGCCAGAGACCACTGGTTCTCCAAGGTAGCACTTAGAGCCCCGAGCAGGTTGCTGTCTATCACTAAATGATTCTGAAGTTAAGGCAAACAGATTTCAGACACCCCTGCCATTGATGCTTTTTAGGGTCATTATCCTAGTACTTCTGTGTAGTAAGTAATGTTATGGCTACCTTAGGATACCCCTTGACCAAATTTCTTCCTCGTTGCTGTGCAGTTTATGACCATGGTCAAGTTATTTAATCTCTGTGTTTTAGTTTATTCTTACATAAAACGGCAGTGACAGCAGCTACTTGCAAGGTTATCCTGTGCATCGGTTAAGGTGACATAGGGCCTACCTACCGCGTGGAAAACACTCCACAAGTACCTGGGGAACAGAAGGTGGCGTGCCAGACAGCTGCCTTCTGCCTGCCACCACCATTCCCTTCCTGACGCTCTGACTTTCATTACTCTGTTCATGAATCTGCTGTGATTCATGAGAGAGACTGCTGTTTTCATTATTTAGAAGAGGGTTCTTCTCATAAGATGACAGACTCCTAAGTCCTCTTTTTTACTGCCAAAGTTTGGGATTGATTTTCATCTAGGAATTGGGAGCAGGCCCCCCTGAGTAAGTAGATCAATCCATCAATCAATCACTTAATAACAATTTGCATCCTAGGGGAGTTACATTAGAACCCACACCACTCCTTTGTGGCACTTACCAAGTAGATGCAGTCTCTTAGGATTGTGTGCGTTGTTAAGTTCTGCTCATTATTCCACCCTCAGTTTAGAGGTTCTCATCCCAGAGATGCTGTCAGAGTCCCCACTCTACATTAGGTTCCTAGCACTCTATGCCTCCTTCTAAAGAAAGCATTAATTGTGAACTATGTTATTTAGTGTCTGCTTTTTCTTCTAGAGCGAAAGTGCCATTGGACAGGATCCATGGTTGTCTTGTTCATGACTGTATCCTCCATGCCTGACTCAGTTCCTTGCATTCCATAGTTACTCCGTAATATTTGATGAATGAATAATCTCCCATTACCAGCATGAATGTAAAAGATGTGAAACAAATGACCTGCATGACCTTCTTCTTTATGGTGATTCATAATCTAGACAAAACCATTTTGTGAAACAGCTTAAAGTTTAAAATTTTAAATATCTTTATTAGTCTATTTTTATTGCTATAATAAAAATCCCTGAGGCTGGACACCTCTATTTTTAAAAAGATGTTTATTTTACAGTTTCAGGAGACTCAAGGGCAAGGCAGCAGCATTGGCTTGTCTGGCGAGAACCTCAAGGCAGATAATGTCACAATGGCAGGAGAGTATGTGGAAGAAAGATCACATCTCAAAATAGAAAGCCAGAGAGCAATTCAGGGGTCAGCCTCTCTCTTACAATAGCTCATGCTCAGGAGAGCACAGGGGACCCATGAGAGCTACCTTAATCACCCTTCTAACAGCAGCACTCACAATGACATGAGAACCTTCCTCTGGGCCCCATCTGTTAGAGGCTCTGCATCACCAAACTGAGGATCATCCTGTCACACACGAACCCTCTGGGAAAAACCATGTCTAGAGCATAGCTGCATCTACCATCTGACTCAGCCATTCTTCCTACAGGGTTTTCCCTAGAGGAAGAAGAACGTACCTCTACACACAAATACTTGTACACTAATATTCATAGCAGCTTTTATTTGTGATGTCCAAAAACTGGAAGAAGAAAATCCCCGGTATCTGTCAGTAGTTCAGTGGGTAA